TTTATCATCATACAATCATTTACATACATTCAAACTGTGGTTCACTCTGACTGCAGTACAAACACTGGTATAAAATATGTTGTTAAATATATATATAGATGTTAATATATCTATATATGTTTATATATATATATATACATATATATATATATATATAAACAGTTCTAGCAGGATATAATGGAGAAAAACTACTGCACCTGTCCAGCAAACCAATACTACACATTTGCATACACTCAGACAGTACACACTGTGGAGGAGCAGGTTGAGGAGTTGAGCTTATAAATCCACAACAACAACTAACCACATCAGAGTATGAATTAGGATATAAGGATACTCTTTAAATCATACCACCATTAGTAAAGAACACTGTAGTAAATACAGCAGTACTGCAGTAAACATGACTGCTGTATATTCAAGAGTTTAAAAAAAATCCAGCAGGACTCACCAGTGAGATGTGTTCAGATGTGGACCAGAGTTCCTTGTATGCTTTAGCTACATGCTGTTAGCACCTAGCTTCAGTAAAGTTCCCCACAGGGTACAGGTGAAACTGCTTCCTGTTTTACCCTGTGGCCTGTCCATTTCAAATCCACTGTCCATTTAATCCTGAGGACAACATCTGGACCAGAACGTTTGGTTCTCCTTTTCTACTGCCGGTCACACCAAAACACCCCAAACAAATGTGGGGAAACATCTGCACTGACTGACAGGATGACATCATCATGACAGGCCATGGTGGGTGGGCCAACACCACATATCAACTTTTGATTGGTTCATCATTCTGTCACTCTCATTCAAACTTCAACTTTTTAAACTAGTCAACCTTTATTCAACCAGGACAAGACAAGACAGGTGTACAGTCACAAGACTGACAACCAGCAACAACAAAACACACTTTCAGCACTTTTACAATTTATAACTCCATACTTTAACTACTTTATCCACCGTCCAGCAGAACATTTTTACCAAAACATAAAGGCCCTAAACATCTTTGGCTTAGCAGTGTGCAATAAATAAAAACATTTCTAAAAATAACAAATCTCTGTCCTTCTGCTCTCTTCTTCAGTGGTATTTTTATCAGATAATTCATTCTCTGCAAAATTCTGGAGAATGACCTTTGACACCAGGCCACAACCTGCTTCTCTGTCTGTTCTAAGAACTTAAATCCACTTCTGTTAAGTGTTTATACTTCAGGATTCTTATAGTAAAGTACGGGTAAACCTATAATGCCATGGTGTAGTAGGATCTTATTAATGTACATAATAAATGTGATGGGCTTCCCTCTGTCCTTAACTTTGTATCACATGACTGCAGGGTTTTCCATGATCGTTGTTGAAATGTATTTTTGTCCTCATGACGGTAGACTAATCCAAGGCGATTCTCTCTAAAGCTATAATTTAAAACCTGCCACATCAGAACAAACTAAAGGCGCTATAACCTTCAAACTCTGATCCCAGGATCCAGTGAGGCAGAGCTGGACATCCTCTGGTCCTCAGGTTGAGTTTCAGATCAGGATTATCTGGTGATAAGCTGCCTCCTATTTATGCATCTCTGTCAACACACAGGCTCTCTGTACAATGTCACTGCAGTGACAGTGAAAGTGAAGGAGCTGAGTAAACTGAAGTGAAGAGGTTTATGATGTTAGCAGCCACTCTGAAGAGTTTGACAACATCAGCACATGACTGAATAAACAGTCTTATCTCTACTGTGAAAGAGTGATTTACCATCCACGACGGTAAACACAAAAAACGTCATCTGTATAAAACAGTTAGCGATGCTCACTAGTGATTAGTGGAGTTTGTCTGTAGTTCAGAGAAGAGTAGAAAAAAAATCAAGACTAAGGAAATGAATTTAATTTCCTCCCAGAAGCATTCCCCAAATTCCTAGAAACCCATCCTTATCTATGACAGAAGTCTGATCACGAGGCTCGGTTACTACAGTGCATTAGTGAGTTTTGTAATCTGATTTGTTTTATGGCACCAGTCTATTTTAAATGTGAATTGTGAAATGTGTTTTTAAAAAAACTGACAGCCTTTGACAACAAACTATTGACCTCATGAAAAAAATGAGGAATGGTATATAGACTAAAGGTGAGGTTAGCAGCCACAAACTGCTCTAAAGAAGAAACAAAGAAAAAGCTCAAATCTTTTTTTGGAACACTATAATACTACCATTACTTTAATATTATTATTGTGTTATTTTTATTATTATTATTTTAAAAAAAGGAGGAGCGAGCTCTTGTGACGTCAGCCACGTTGACTTCAGTCCTCCAAGATGGCGGAGGTAAGCGGGTTGAGGAGCAGAAATCACTTTAAGCCCAGCCACAAAAAACGAGTCGTTGACGAAGGTAAATCGCTGTTGGTTTTGTCTGTTAAGTTTATGAAAGTCCCGCCGGGCGGAGATGAGTTTGTCTTTTTATAACTGTCGTATTTGTCTGCGCCAAACTGTCTTTTCCGTTAGTCACTGTTGTTTTAGTTCAGCAGCGCAGTGTGTCCTGGAAAATGTGGCATCCCGGAGCAGAGCATGTGCCTGTCTGTGGAAACACACCGTCCACTCAACCTCACCTCGTTAACTATTACCAAGTTGTTAATATTTTATCGACACGTGCGTCTGTGTGTGCGGACCCAGTTAGAGGAGTGTTTTCTCTCCGTGACTGGGGCTGAAAACTGTCCCTGACCCGGATACAATGTTGAACCGCGACACCTGTCGGCTTTGCTCGCGCCGTCACTTTCACCTGGTTCGGTCAGAGGACCAACGGCAAGCAGCGTGTGCATCTGTCAACTGTTCTCTGAAGTCTGTCGTGGACTTTAACTCTAAAGTTTTCAAACGGCTGATCAGTGTTTTTTTCTGTTTTCTGTTGGGCAATGAGTTCAGTCCACGGGACTTGACGTTAATCCTGACACCGCTAATGACTCGTGTATTTTTAAATGTTCTATTATTAGTGTGCTCTGTTCTATTAGCCAACAGAACGATCTGTGTCGTATACAACCGAACAGTACCAGATACACTTACGTATCTGACGTACGTCACCAAGGGACTCGGTTAATTAGTTAGTTTGGGTCAGGGGTCTGCGACCTTCAACTTCAACTTTTATTGTAGTTTAAGTTTTAAAATACTGTAGTCATCTTATATACAATTATTGTTGTAGTTTTACCTGTTTTACAACAGGAAAAACTTAGTGATGTACATTTCTACATTTTCACATAATGAAGATAAATTTGTCTCAAACTTGACTTGTTAGAAACACTATAAACACTAGAAATATCATCCTAGATGGAGCCAGTGAGAAGAGGCAGCAGAGCTCAGGGGTGTTGATTCTTTTCAAATATGTTCAATCCTGAATAAATTAAAATAAATTAAAAAATAAAAAGTGTCCTTAACAGTGCCTAAATTATTTATAAGTGACAGCACATCTCCAACCTGTCAGTCTGCTAATTAATAAAATCCTAGTTGATGTTGTCAGATCATCAAACCCTGTTGTGTTGTATGATTATTAAATGTCATTTCTACATGCTGTTCATTTTAGCAGTATTAGTTTACACACACACATACCACGAATTGCTTATTCAATTTTTTTTAAAAATGTACAGAACATTTTACGTGTACAAATGCCTGACAACATCCTCCTCTGAAGCCCTCACATCAGCAGAGAGCAGAGACTTATTGGCATGGAAACTGCTGAACAAAGGAACTGATACGCTTCTGCTAGTTTCCTAGTAAAGCACTATTTTATATGTACTTGCTGCAGCAATGCAGTATTTTAATTTATTATATATCATATATATTTATTTATATCGTATTTTTTAGAAGTCAGAGACAGGTGTCTTGTCTACTTCTGTACAGACCAGCCGACCCTGTCGCCACCAAGTTCATCTGCTCTTAATCTGCACTTTGTCCTCACAGAATCACTCTTGCTCTGCTTGTTGCAATTGAACATTTGCCCCGTTTGACTCCAATCCAAGGAGGCAGAACCCGCTGGTCATTAGTTTCTGCTGTGCAGTGAGGCTGCTGCACCTGCATCTTAATGAGTTCCATAGGGTTCCTGTTACTCTGGCTGTGGTACAGTTGTGTCATATACTACTGTAGTACTGCATGATGAGAGTCACAGGATTTGTTCTTGATCTTTAAAATGAGAACGCCCGTGTGTTTAGACAGGTGCCTGATGTGAGCTGCAGTCACAGTTTAAATAGTAAACCTGATGGAGGTCAGCTAGCTGCTGTAGCCACATACTGTTGATAACCAGCAACGTTAAAGATAGAAACTATTATTAGAGCACAGATGGATAGAAAGATAAAGATAAAGATGAAGAAGTTGTATGTTCAGTTCAGATGGATAGAAAGATAAAGATATAGATACACGCTGAAATAGTGGCATTAAGTACTTGGTTTTCTGGGACAAAAAAAAAATCATGAGTTCCTTGATCAGTTCTTTTGTCAAATTGATGGAGAATCTAATTTTAGTTTCGTCCTCATTCTCTGCAGCTGAGGAGCAGGACACTTCATTATCCACTTCATCTTAAGTGTAACTGTAGTTGGAAACACAAAGCTACCGCTCTGTTGACTGTTTGTTATTGTTCCTTCATGTACACAGGCACACACACTCACACACACACACCTTATATTCTGCTGCAACACTCACACACACACACACACACCTTATATTCTGTTGCAACACTCATTCTTCTGAGTCCTAGCAGAATAGAGTCTTTATGCGTGTGTGTGTACATCAACTGTAACTCTTTATCCTGCTAAGTGCTGCAGCTCTGCCACAGACTGAGGAAATAAACAGACTGGATTTGTTTGTGCTGCTGATAACAGTAACTGCCCTGTGTTTACAGCAGACCCTCAGACAGAACTGCTTCGTGATTAATGCTGGGTTACACTTGTTAGTTGCTGAGGCTGAGGGACTATTAGACAGGACCATTGGTTTTACTCTCAGAAGCTGGTGAAGTTTTAAAACACCCATCTGTCATGGGTCTGAATAGAGATCTTGTAGACACTTACTGCTCGACGTATCTGTCTGTTGACCTTTGGCCTCGCTGTCTGGCAGTTTTCCCTGGTCCCAGATGTATATCGTACGGTTGTTTCCATGTCCTGAATGTTGGAAGAAAATAAAATCATTTCTACTGACAGTGTTGATTGGTGTTGAATAAAAAGTTCCATAAGCTAATTGAATGGAGTTATTTGATTAGTAATGTCTCTTGAATGTTGCCTTACCTGTCCAGGTGTCAGAGATCCACAGAGCCGTGTTCACCCGTGTGTGGACAGGACCTGAAACGATGATAACTCTCATTACATTTGGTTACATCGGTGGAGCAACACAAAGAACCTGGTGACATCACCTGCAGGTGTTTGAATGTTTGATGACCTTCAGTTAAAACATGTTAAAGATGATTTATGAACTGGTGGAGTTGATACCGATACTGGGGTTGATCATCAGCGACCCAGAACTGATGTGGCCTCTGAAGGCATGAATCATATATTTTATGATGTTGTTTTAACAGAATATTTCAACATCCTTTGTTCGCCTCCAGACTCCAGGCTGTGGGGTCGTATCAGGCCCAGACCTGTGCCGGTTGTTTGGTTTCTGCCTCTTTATTGCCTCATTGAAATGTAGTCCCTCTCCTCTGTTGATAACCCTGTTCTTAAGGTAGTTTTTATTTTCTTAGGTGTTAGCTGGGTTTTTGCTTCATTACTGCCACCTTCAGGATATAACTGCATGTTGAACCTTTTTATCAGATATAAGACTTCCCTCTATCTTTTCTTCTTGAATATTCAAAGGAATATCAAAGGATTCCAGCACCATTCAGGATTGGGCAGAGTTCACTCTCAGCATCCATTCAGTCCATCTGTACCAGTTTGTTATCCTCTTGTGGTTATTGATTCCTAGTGATTAGTACATTTAGTACATTTTTAATAATTTTGCAACATATTGGAAAAAGAGACTTTGTTTACTTTTTTATATCTTACATCTCAAACCACTGGCTGGTAGCATCATCAAGGTTTCTACTTTCTCTTTGTGTTTTTTGGTTTTGTTGTTTTAATTGAACGTGATCTCTTTGGGTTAAATAGTTCACTGGTGTAAAATATATCCAGTAGGTGGCAGTAATACAAGATTCAAATCAGCCTGTAAAGCCCAAAGACTATGGTTAGCCCAGCATCGTTGTCATCAAAAGTGGTAGTTTTTTTCAAAACAAAGTGTCATGCTAATGTGCTAGCACAATGGAAATACGTTACTTACTAGTGAACACTGCTAATTTGCTTAACACTAGCACAAGCCAAGACACTGGAGAAATAGTCCGAACACGTCCGTTGGCTGTTTCTGACTCTCAGTGATTTTGGGGACAAAGATATTTTCAGACTTGGCCTAGAAAACAGAGGACAGAATGTGGAACAGTTCTCTGCCCAGCGCAGCCTGAAGAACTGTTTTTGTTGTTGTTTGTTGTCACAGTTAACTCTGCCTTCACATTATTGTCACTGCTCTCACTTCACACCAGTGATCTGCAGCATGACATTATCTAACCAAGTGTCATTTATCTTTCTCCCTGATCTGTTTACCCACAGAGCTGAACAGTGTTGAAGATGTTTCCATCCTTCAGCACACACACAAACCTCCTCTAGCCAAAACAGAGGACCTGGACGATGAATTCCTCCCCACGACCATGGCCTCAAACTCAGAGAGGAAGAGCAGCCTCACCTTAACACCAGATGAAGAGATGGAGGAAGAGGAGGTAGAGTGTCTGGACCTGTTTTATGCCATTGTTTACTGGAGGCTTATATGAATCATATCCGTAGTTGGCAGAAGATCAAACCCACGTCTCAGAGCTGCCATCTTCTTTTCTTCTCCGTCTCGTCAATGATTTGAGCCTCGACTGTCAAGTGTTTTTAACTTCACTGACTGATACTTCTGTTTTTTTCAGCCCCTGGTGGAGGAAGAAAAAGACAGACCCATCCAGATTGTCCTGGCCAATGAGGCCGAGCACACCTTTGAGCTGGACACTGCCGCACTGGAGAAGATCCTGCTGCAAGATCACGTCAAGGACCTGAACGTGGTGGTCGTGTCTGTGGCCGGAGCTTTTCGCAAGGGCAAGTCCTTCCTGCTGGACTTCATGCTGCGCTACATGAGCAATGAGGTGAGGGGGGGGCTCTGTATTCATATATGACATATGTGTCTTATATGTTAAGTTGTCACAGTCGTAAAGTGAAACAGTCAGAATGGATTTACACTTTTCCTCACCAACAGTAGCAGTAGAGGATCTTCCTTACATCCACACACATTTGCTCTCTCTAACGTGCGCACCCATATGCACACATACACGCGCATGTGTGGAATGTCCTGAGCCTGTGGTGTGTCAACAGCTGTTATGCAGCATGAACTTGAACTTTCACTTCTGCACATGTTCATTGTCTTCATCCAAACTGGAGATAAGTTTTTCCCCTCATCGACAGCCAGTAGAGACATTAATGGAAAAGATCTGCAGCCACATGTCGATGTGAAGTGATGAGACTGGACAGTAGGTAAATGACCATCTGTCTCTGTGGTCACTTACTGGTTTGACTACTGCTGCGGTCAACATGAATCAGGCCACTCAGTGTTTTCACTCACAAATCAGCTTGTGGCCTGGCATCCGGTCAGCTGGGAACACAATGTAGAAATGTGCCGTTCAATGCCATCTTATTTCTGTGTGCCCTGCAGCGGTGTCAGTCCTGGCTGGGAGGTGATGACGAGCCTCTGACGGGCTTCACCTGGAGAGGGGGCTGTGAGAGGGAGACCATAGGAATTCAGATCTGGAGCCAAGTGTTTGTGGTGGACAAACCAGACGGCAGCAAGGTAGACAAACATTTGAGTCCTGCTGCAGTGAGAGCAGTGAGGAGTTTAGGAGTTCAGGTTGTGTTTCTAATTATCAAATTAAACACGGGTTGTTAAGAAACAGGCACGCGGTGCAGTCTTCCTCTCAAACATTGACACAGCAGAACAGCATGCAGGGACACACCCTCCTCTAACTGCCAGCTGAAGAGCAGAGACTGACACAGAACTGATGTTGGTGAATATGGATTTAAAACTGCTGCTCAGAGGCTTCATGAACAGTTCAGGTGTAAAATAGAACCTGTCGTGACAAGTGTTTTGCATGAGACAAACAAGATAAGCGATAAGCCATCGTGCAAACAAAGTACAGTGGGGCTTCAAGATACAAGCTAACCGAGCTCTGTCTTTCTCTCTCTCTCTTTTTCTATTATCTAAATCCAGTCCTCACTCCTAGTCCTTCTCCTACACTTAGTGGTCCCATTTTTATTAGGGAAAATGCAAACCAGCAGATTGACATACGAGTGCTGTTGTGTAACAGAATAGACTCCTATCCTGAAGCCCCACCGTACATGTAAGAGGTTGTGTCCATCAGGTGGCAATGTTTTTAAACCGGATACCACCAGTTCAGCAGCTGCAGCTGTATTTGATCAACAACAAAGAGTTCAGTGCCAACAAATTTAGTAAACAAAAGTTAAACTTTTCTTATTCTTTCACTATTAAATACAGGGTTTTGGTTAAAAACAAAAAAGTCGTATTTTACTTTGTCACTGTTTTTTTTCCTGGTTTCAGGTACATTTTTAAAGTTTGGTTGTTGTTGTTAAATTGACACTAATTGAAAACACTTGTTGTTCCATCAGGTAGCTGTTCTCCTGGTGGACACTCAGGGAGCGTTTGACAGTCAGTCCACCATCAAAGACTGTGCCACGGTGTTTGCCCTCAGTACCATGACCAGCTCTGTTCAAGTAAGAACTCATGTTTCCACTTTTTTATCTCACCATTTCATCAAACGAGGTAATGTTAAGGTCAGGGGGTCAGGTCTTGAGTGGAGAATGAGTGTTGTAGGTGGGAGAATAGAGGTAGAACAGAGATAACTGATATAATAGTACAGGAAGTAGGAGGTAGGATGATCAACTTCGGGAACACGTACCACTGTATTACAGCTGCTCTGTGTTTTTTCAGGTTTACAACCTCTCCCAGAACATTCAGGAGGATGACCTGCTGCATCTGCAGGTCAGTGAGATTCTTTTACTGCCATTAAAAAAAAAAAACAGAATACGTTTTTTTTTTTTATCATAATCATGTTGTCTTTCAGCTTTTCACAGAATATGGTCGACTGGCAATGGAGGAGATCAACCTAAAACCTTTTCAGGTACTGACAGTTTTTAACCAAACAACACCAAATGTCAGTGATGCCTTCATCACTGTCCCACAACAAGCATGTGCTTATTTGGACCTTTGTGTTTTGCGTGTCAGTCCCTGATGTTCCTGATCCGTGACTGGAGTTACCCTTATGAGCACTACTACGGTCTGAGAGGAGGCCACAATTTCCTGGATAAAAGACTTCAAGTGAGTCTTAGTCTCCTCCTCTGTCCTCTGACCTACAGCACCTCCACATCCTCTTCTCCAATGTCTTATAGAAAATGTCCTTTATCAAACCACGGTGGAGCAGGTTATGCCCCCACCAGGCTGGGTTATTTATTTTTAAACCAAACCAAAATGTGAACTTTGTTGTCAAATGTCTACGCTCTTGATCACATGGTACAGCCTGTCAGACACAGCACACCCTTAAAAAAATACTTGCCCAATGTAACCTGTGCAGAAAAAAATAATTTTGCTCCAAGACGTGTGTAAGACGTTCACACCAGTCTGTACGCACCGAGACGTGCACTGTTACTGAGGGGAATGCCATGTTCTGCTGTCGCAGGTGAAACAGAACCAACACGAAGAGCTGCAGAACGTGAGGAAGCACATTCACTCCTGCTTCTCCAACATCAGCTGCTTCCTGCTGCCACACCCTGGCCTCAAGGTGGCCACCAACCCTTACTTTGACGGCAGACTGAAAGGTGAGGTGACGGCAACAATCACATGTGCACTGAATAGTAAATGAAAGCTGACGGCTGCTGTCAACTGACGGTGACACCCGACCATGGTCTGTGTTTGTTTTCTTTAGACATTGATGATGATTTTAAGAGTGAACTGGCCAAACTGGTGCCTCTGCTGCTGGCCCCAGAGAGACTGGTGGAGAAGGAGATTGGAGGGAACAAAGTCACCTGCAGAGATCTTGTGGAGTACTTCAAGGTTCTGCAGGATTTCACCACAGTTTTGGTTTTGATAGGTCACTGTGTGAGAAGTAGAGAGGCCCCAAATGATAATGATAATTAGCTCCTCTAAAACCAGGAGTAGCATATGAGACCATCATATCATGCAGTATTTACAAGTGTTATCTCCTACATAAAGAAATACTAACATTCAGTTCAGGACATAATTGTGTTGACTTGATTTACGTCACGCCCCCTGCAGGCTTACATGAAGATCTACCAAGGAGAGGAGTTGCCCCATCCCAAGTCAATGGTGCAGGTCAGTTTCTGCAATGGGACTTTTATCATTGATCATTTTTACCACTGATAATTTTGCAGTGGTCTCTTAATTTTTTTCAGTGCTGTATATATAAATATAAAACTTTTTAAAATGAACAGCTAATGTTTAACGCTTACAATTCTGTGATCAGAGGTATGATGTTGGCTTATGGTTTAGTGGAATTTTTATTTATTTACAACTACTTGAAGAATTATCTGATTTGCTCTCTCCATCTCTCTCTCTCTCTCAGGCCACAGCAGAGGCCAATAACCTGACTGCAGTGGCAGGAGCTAAAAACATGTACAGTAACAGCATGGAGCAGGTGAGGACCTGTTTGGTTCTGACATCCTCAGGTCAGTGAATCCACAGAACCTCAGGTGCCTTCACAGTCGTGTTCTTCCTCCTCAGATCTGCGGCGGGAACAAGCCGTACATGGCCCCCGCTGACCTGGAGCGATGCCATGAGGAGTTCCGGGAGCACTCTGTGCGCTACTTCCGCTCTGTGAAGAAAATGGGCGGCGAGGAGTTCTGTCAGCGTTACCAGAACCAGCTGGAGGCCGAGCTGGACGAGTCCTACAGCAGATTCTCCAAAAGCAACGACAGCAAAAACATCTTCAACGCCGCACGCACGCCTGCCACGCTGTTCCTGGTCATGTTCATCACCTACGTGGTGTCAGGAGTCACGGGCTTCATTGGTTTAAGCACCTTAGCCGCACTGGCTAACCTGGTCATGGGCGCAGCCATGCTGGCGCTCTGTGCCTGGGCGTACGCGAGGTATTCTGGAGAGTTACGGGAAGTCGGAACGGTCATCGATTTGTTGGCTGAAACGCTGTGGGAACAGGTGAGGAGTCAGAGTGACAGAACCAAAAACTGTCCCAGAACCACAGCACGCGTGTGTGGTTCCTCCTGTTTATGGTTTTGGTGACCGTGTAGAACGATCATCTCGTCTGCCTCCTCCACATCGTGTCTGTTGTTTGATTCCTCGTCAGTGTTTGATTCCACACCAATCTCTTCATTTGTTCTCTGATGTCTCCCCTCCTGTCTGTCTCCCCCCTGCCCTCATGCTTTACAGCAGACAGTGAGAAAGGTGAGAGGTGCCACTTCCTGTTTCCTCCCCCTCGCCCCCCAACCATTTGCTTGATTTCCTCTATTTCCTGAATCAAACCTTCTGCGTCTTATTTACACTCCTGTGTAATGGTTTCAGTAATTGTCATCTGACATTGAATACATCAGCTCAGTCATCTTTTTACATTTTGTGGAGGGTGGGGGGGGTCTCATTTGGTAATTTGATCCATAAATGTTGAAATGTGTGACCAACCAGCAGCATCTCAGACTCTGACGTTGAAACATTTAGAGTTTTAAAGATGTCTAGAAGATGCTATATTACAGTGGGTTACTTTTCAGTCCCCCCCCCCTTTCCCTCTTCGTCCTCCCACTCTCTGTCAAGTGCTCCCTCTGTCTTCGTCCTTGTGTAACTTCCCACTCTCCTCTCAGGTGTTTTCCAAACTTATGGAGCCGGTCATGACCCGCCTGTCGTGGCCCGTCTCCCTTCTACCTTCATTCCTATCAGGAGCCACACTGGGACTCAGACCTCTGACTCCTCTCAACAACAACTACAAGAAGCCTAACTAACCCTCAGGGACCACTGGATCCTCACACTATCAACCTTAGAAACCACACTTCCTCTCATTGTTCATTTTCACTGCTGGATACTTGACCTTTGACCTCTGTGTGCTGACATATGATCAGAGGACCACCAGGACGGGGAGCCCAACACACGGTTTCTAATCATTTTATTCTGATGGATGTGGAAAGTCAGTGTTCCAACTTGTTTTGTTAAAAGGTTCTGTTGGATTGGTTTTGTGTCTGCATGTTTAAGCTCCGCCCACTTTTGTTCCAATGATTTGATTCACTTTTTCTCCTCTAACCTTTTTTTTATCCTTCAGTTTCTTTGTCCCTTTCATTGACGTTTCTGCTGCCGCTTCACATGTTTTGGTTTTTAAAAACTAATTCATTTTGTCTTCTCTGCTCTTTCTCCCCCATCCTCCCTCCGCTGCCTCTCCTCTGCAGGTGTTAAAGCCACTCAGTGAACACTACATGGAAGACAATGTCCGACAGACGCTGGTGAACTCCATCAAAGCCAGTCTGACAGAGCAGGCCTCTCAACACGCCAAATTAAAGACTCAGTGACTCACTCCGTCACCCTCCTTTCCCCTTTGAATTCTCACCCATTAAACCTCCCGCTCACCCACCGGCTCAGTGTATTTAGTCCTAGAACTGCGGAACTAGTTCAACGCCAAAGCTGATCCTTCTTTTTTTTTTTTTGGCCAAAACAATTACATTTTTTCTGCCTGAGCAACAACGACCAGTAGTCCTTCTGTTCTCTAGCTCCTCATCGCCCCCCAGTGCCTCAGAGCAGAAGCTACATATCAATAAGAGAAGCTGTTCAAAAGAAGTCTTGTGTGACAACACAGAACTTTAATGAAAGTTAAAGTTCTTCTCTGTGCCACAACATCACAAATGCATTTTACCACTGTAGATTATCTCTCACACGCACACACACACACTCAGAAGACTGAATTCACCTGTAGAATGATCTGTAATTCAGGGGAAATCCATAGACTGTAAACAGGACCTGGACAGAGCCCCCTTCACAGCAGACTGTGTTTTTGGGGTGAGACCAAAACCAGAACATTTTTTTCTGCTGATTTTAAAGTTAACATCAAGTCGTTATTAAGTGGGCCAACCTTATTCTGTGATCTCATCGTCTTAAGATCTCGGCCGTCGTCTATGGAATGTGAGGTCTCTTTATTATTATTATTATTATTTAAATACATTTTCTTACAAGACGGAGCTGGTTTCAAAGACCATACGTTCATCAGACAGATCTTTACTGGTGTTTAAGAATCTGTCACATTTTC